TCAAAGGTATACAGAGAGCACTTTAAAGGGCAGTCAGCAGATCCTGTTATGAGGGAGGGAATATTGCCATGGCGGAGTCCTTGATACCTTAATAGGCCAGACACAGAGACTCTCTGCGGACTTATACCCGGTAAGCTTACTAAAGCCATGTTGCAACTAGAATATATTTGGAAGGACCGGTGAAAATTTTGAATATATATACTTCGAGATATATTATGACTATTTCTAAGTCTCCTAGACATCGTTTCTGACTCTAGGAAACCAGAAATATAGGATACCGAAAAATACAGGCATAATCACCAGTGCCTAGAGAGATACCTATGAAAGTAGGCTATATGTCCAACGTATATGAGTATATATTATGCTTCCTGTCTAAATTTAGCCCTGTAAGCCCTTGGTTATTGAGTTATTAAGGCCTTAAAAAGCGCCCTGTTATACGGAATACAAGATGTTCGCCTCGGTAGGGAAATTTGATATTATCTATTGCTATGTCAGCTATACACTTGTCTTGAAACACCGTCTACGGCAATACAATTTCACGGTGTCCGACCATCCGGCGTAAACCATTAATTCAATCATTTGTTAATATTCAATATACATCAGCAACTCCACATTCCGCGCTCTGTTCTATACACTGCTCATGCTGAGGCACAATGGCCGCCATCCACCCTCAAGTCAGCCCCCGTCATGAAAGAACTGCCTTCTGACAATAGGAAAACCGCCGGTGCTTTGAACTCATCCGGTGTCGACAGTCTGCCCAGAAGCGCCCCGGCCAACCACGTCTTTTCCACCTCAGGCTCCGCTTGGAGGAGCTGGTTTGTCATATCGGTCTGGATATACTGGTATCGAGTCAGTCGCGAAAAATGAAGGTAGAAATAGGGATGGGTTTCGACTTACACCCGGTGATAAGGTATTAATCCGTATTCCGTACTTGCCCCATTCCTGAGCGAGAGAACGGCACAATTGCTGCACCGCCGCCTTGCTCGTGTTGTAGGCCGAACATGTGAGACCCTGTAAAAAGTTAGCAGACAACTTCTGCGTACTTATTCTGAGTGCTGGGTGTATTGTTATGCGTACCCTGTTTGCAATTTGACCAGACATGCTTGCAATAAGGACAATACTGCCCGGCCTCTTCTTCTGGACTAGAATCCTTGCTGTTCGCTTAGCAGTTAGGAATGCCCCTGTCACATTGACCCGTAGGATCCGCTCAAAGTCCTGCCCCTCATACTCGAGGGCCGGGACTTTCTGCTGGATGCCTGCGCAAGCCACGACACCGGCGAAGGGCGCGTCGTTCGCGTCGGCTTCTTGTGCGATTTGCTCGAGTGCTGTCGCAAGCTCGGTTTCGCTGGTGACATCGCATTGCTTATATGAGGCGGTCAGATTGGACGAATTGCATAACTTGAGAAGGGTGGACCATTGAGTCTCTGAGGGGAAGGGCAAAATGTCTAGACAAGCAACGTGGCCACCAGACTCTACCACCGCAAAGGCCAGCTCCAACCCTAGGCCTCTGCCACCACCGGTGATAGCTATAGTTTTACCCGCGAGAGAGAGGAGACTGGGCACGGTCGGTACCGAGGGAGTATACTGCTGCTGCTTGTTGGGAACAGAAGCTGCAGCTGCAATGTCGTCGATGGCCGTAGGTGTCATCTTTTTTACCACTCTTTTTGCACAGTAAGAGGAAAAGTGAAGTGAGGGTTGTAAGGACATAGCAGTCCACTATCGGGTAGTACAAGGGTGACCACAGAGGGAGCGGTGATGATTTGCGAGTTTGAACGGTGGTTTCGTGAGAGGATCAATCCATGTTTTGTAGGCCGTTGCTGAGTGTATTGGGCAGGTTGAAGCACAAAAGCAACGGTTGGTCATACGCAATGGATATTCCAAACCCTCTGGGCAACACTGAACTCCTTCCAAGATTGCCGCAATGACCGAAAGTGGACGACTGTACTCGTCCAAGGCATGTATGTTACCACAAAGGGAAAATGTCAAGAGTAGCATGGTCTGAAATGCTGCAATGTGTGTTCGATTGTGGAAGTTCGAAGCGCCAGACAGTGCGTTAACTTTGAGTTTCGAGTCGGTTTGAGTTTGATGATGGGGGTGGGCGGTTGGTTGGCTGTGGGGGTTTCCGAGTCCTTTCCGAAATAGACAGTCCTAAGCGCACCCCGGTAATAGGAGCGGAGAAATAAACAATATGTATGGCGCCAACAAGGTACGTCACCACCAGAACTGAATCGAAAGGTCTAAACCTCAATCAAGAAAGACATTGCGGATATAAGAATGAGCTTCGCGATCGGACTGCATTTCAACGCCCATCTTACAAGAAGACATATCTATCGATTTTGCGCTTGGTCACTCGGCTCCTCCCACCAGGATGACGCGACAACTTGAAGAGAGAAGGAAAATTGATCTCGCCTTGCGAACAATCCGATGCCTGATTTTAGACCTGTGCCAACAGTACAAGGGTGGACACCCAGGGTGAGTGAACGATGTCCCGCAAACCATGCTGGCAAGCCGGAGAACCTGACATTCTTCCTCACCAGTGGCGCCATGGGGATGACTGCGATTGGCATTGCGTTGTGGAAGTATTGCATGAGATACGTGCCGGCGAAACCCGACTTCTTCAACCGGGATCGCTTTGTGCTCTCCAACGGCCACACTTGTCTCTTCCAGTACACATTCCTGCATCTCACGGGCTATAAGGCCATGACGATGGACCAGTTAAAATCGTACCACTCCGAGCGGACAGATTCCCTGTGCCCAGGCCACCCGGAGATTGAAATTGACGGGGTTGAAGTGACTACAGGTCCCCTGGGACAAGGTGTCGCAAATGCGGTGGGCCTGGCCATGGCAACGAAGCATCTCGGTGCTGTCTATAACAGACCCGGATTCTCACTTGTGGACAATACAACATGGTGCATGATCGGTGACGCCTGCTTGCAAGAAGGCGTTGCATTGGAGTCAATTCAGCTGGCCGGGCACTGGAGACTCAACAATTTGGTCATCATCTACGATAACAACCAGGTAGCGTTTGCTCAGAATTTCAGAACTGGCTTTACTGATACTGACAAGATTTCGAACCTCAGGTGACGTGTGATGGCAGTGTAGACATCTGCAACTCCGAGGACATCAACGCCAAAATGAGAGCATGTGGCTGGGATGTTATCGACGTTGAAGATGGCTGTTATGATGTAGAAGGGATCACAGCTGCCCTCATACGTGCCCGGTCCAGCAAAGAGAGACCGACATTTATCAACGTACGCACCGTGATTGGCGTCGGGAGCAAATTCGCCGGCGACGCCAGGGCCCACGGTGCCGCCTTCGGCGAGGACGAGGTCGCCAACATCAAGAGAACGTTGGGATTGAACCCAGACGAGCATTTCGCTGTGCCTGACGAAGTATATCAGTTTTTCAGCGACGCTGAAGAAAGAGGCCGAGCCCTGGAGGAGAGCTGGAATCAACTCCTGGTCAATTACTCGACGGCGTATTCGGAGATGTACGAGGAGTTCAGGTTGAGAATACAAGGAAAAATGACAGAGGACTGGACAAAGCTCATCCCATCAAAAGAAGAATTCCCCGCATCTCCAACACCCTCCAGAAAGTCTGCCGGTCTCTGTTGCAATCCCCTGGCGTCAAAGCTCCGGAACATCATGGTGGGCACTGCCGACCTGACTCCTTCGGTGAACATGGCATGGAAGGGCAAGGTCGATTTCCAGCATGTATGCGCAGTCCTGTCTTCAAGTATATGCAACGTTTTTGCTAATCAAACTGCTTTGTTCAGCCGGAACTCAGGACATCTTGTGGTCTAAACGGCGACTACACTGGGCGGTATATCCATTGGGGTATTCGAGAACATGCCATGGCTTCAATCTCAAACGGACTAGCAGCCTTCAACAAAGGAACGATCTTGCCCATAACCTCCAGTTTCTTTATGTTCTACATTGTAAGCGGAACCATTGAGCTACATCGGTTTAGTACAAGCAGTGGTTGCTGACACTGAGCAAGTATGCGGCCCCAGGCATTCGGATGGGCGCACTTCAAGGCCTCCAGCAGATCCATATCGCAACTCACGACTCGATTGGCACCGGTGAGGATGGACCAACTCATCAGCCCATTGCATTGGCAGCACTGTACCGTGCAATGCCAAATATTCTCTACATACGGCCCTGTGATAGTGAGGAGACGGCTGGTGCTTTTGTCGCAGCATTTCAGGCAACATCCACCCCGACGATCATCTCGCTGTCCCGGCAGAACTTGGAGCAGTACCCAGAATTCTCCTCCCGAAAAGGGGTCCAGAGGGGTGCATATGTTTTCATCGAAGATGACCAGGCTCAAGTTACGTTGATTGGTGTGGGTGCTGAGATGGTCTTTGCAGTACGTACGCGACAGGTGCTGCTGGACCGTTTCAACGTCAAGTCTCGCGTTGTGAGTTTCCCATGCCAACGTCTTTTTGCACAGCAGAGCCAAGAATACAGGAAGGAGGTCTTGAAATATCGCTCAGGAATCCCCTGTGTCGTTATTGAGGCATACGCGGTGAACGGGTGGGAGAGATACGCTGATGCGGGCTTCACAATGAGCACATTTGGACATTCACTACCTGGTGCTGCAGCATATAAGTACTTTGGATTCGATGAGCATGTGATTGCACCAGAGGTGGCAAAGCTCGTGGAAGAGGTTCAGCGCGACGGGATTGAAAGGTTGCGAGGTGAATTCAGGGACTTGAACCCGGTGCGTCATTAATTAACAATCATGGATGTAACATATAATGCATTTTGCACTATATAGTCAATTCAATTCCAAGAGCATCTTGTGCTTCGTTTTAATCTCTAGGACCTCTCCTCGGTCATCAAAGGGATGGCACTAAGGGACGAGTCAGAAAAGTACCTCGATGGATTCGGTAAGCCTTGCAAGAGGACATATCGGAGCGTACGGTGAATAGATTAAATCAGATGAAACACTAACTGCCGGCCACACCTTCGACAGTTACACCGGATGGCAAAAGGACATTATTGCGACAAATCTCCCCAAAACTCTTGAAGATCGATCGCCCGCCACTTTGTGGGCCAGCCACACTCTTGTTCGATTCTTTCAAGTAATCTCAGAATTGCCTGATGCTCGCTCGGGTGGCTCATCCATTGGCCGGCAATCCACAGCGGTTGGATCGAGTTGGTCCACGCACCATGATGGTCATTGCTCATGGAAATGCCACAGATCTGGCGGGCATGCCACAGGATCGAGCGTGGTTTCGGGTCTAGTCGTATATTGGCCGGCTTGGACTGCAACAGTAATATTGCCGCGGTGTGGTAGAGCTGATTTCCGGATATTGCCGCTGCATTGCTGAAAAGAATCGTGGGGAATGGCTCTGTGCAGGGAAAGTTGACGATCGGTTTCATCTCTTTTGGCCGTCTGACCTGCCAGTCTTCCATGCAACGCCACAGCTTAAACCATCGTTCGATGTAGGCTATGTCGCAGGGGTCGCACCGGGCACTCGCTCCTCGTCCTAGCAAGTGGGATGGGGCTAGGAGATCCAAGGTCTGCGCACAGAGGTAGACGGCTTGGTTTGCGCTGGCTTCAAATGCAGATATGGACTGAAAGAGTCCGATGTCAGTATTGAGGTCAATCCTGGAAGCCCAATGGTCGACCGGGATCAGTGTCTTGATGGAGGAAATCAAGCCGCCGCATACGTCCATCCGGGCAAAGCACCAAAAGAGTGCCTGTTCGACACCTCCGACGAAGCCATTGATACCCACTGCTTGCATCAAGTGCGCGCATCCGTCGAGATGCCGTCGCCAGGCCTTCGGGGCACAGCTGAGCATCTCCAGCACACAAAGGACCACGCAAGACCCGATCACAGCGGTGGATCTCGTTGGAAGCTGTGGGAGGAGAAGCTGGATGGCTTTATGGTAGAGCATTAAACTGCGCTCGATGGGCAATGTCTTGTCTTTCTGCTCTTGCTGGCGGGCAGATACGGCTAACATGGCGTACCGGAGGTGGTCGTGGGATTGTGCCATCACGGGAAGGGTATATTGAAAATGGCGTTGACTGTCAAACTTGTCCAGCCACGGGGCAATCTCTTCCAGCCAGTTCTTCCACAAAACATATTCCACATCCTTGGGCAGATCCACGGGAATTTGGTCGTTGGAGATCTGGCTATAATCTTCGTAGTCTCTGAGCTGTAGAATCGGGACCGTAGTGAAACCGTCGTGCCCGAGAGTCATTCGAGCTGGACCCGGGATGTCCGTAGAGTTTCGCCGAGAAGGATAACGGGATCGCGCTTCTTGCATGAGATGGTTCCTCAGGGTGGAGTGCAGTTCGAGATAGCCGGAACCCGGCTGGAAGACGCCATCCTCGTGACTCATATCAGTGGAATCCCAACACTCAGGAAAGCGTTGCAGCAGAGGGGAGGTGTTCGCATCTAGGTCGGGACCAGGAGCAAGCAAGGCAGGCGATTTGAGCAGCACTTGCCGTAGCCACGGATTGCTATCCACTAAATCCCCGGCGGTGGGCTGACTCAGTTCTGTTGGACCTTCAGGGTCCGGTAGTCTCCTGTTTGGCATGTCCGCTGACTGGTTCAGAGACGAACCCCTGGAATGTTCGCGACCATCCGAAAGGTCTTCTGAAGTAAGCTCGGAATCATCGGAATCAAGTGGCTGCGAGGCGCTCGTGCTGAATATGGGTAGGTCACCCCGGGCCTCTTCTTCACGCTGTCCTGGGTCCCGCACATGGTGCGGTGGAGTGGCAGATCCCTGATCGAGTAGAGGATGCTGAATTTCACCAACGGGAGAAGACTTATGATAGTCGTGTATCACCTGAGAGGTAACGTCCATAATCTTAAAGGATTTGTGCGTTCGATCCTTCGGCTGCCGTGAATCGTCCACCAGCATCTGCGTGTTTGCTTCCCGGAAAGTGACTCGCATCCCCCACTGGCAGTTCTCCCTTCTCTTCCGGCATCTAAGGCACGTTGGTTTCCCTTCATCGCACTTTCTCCGCTTTCTCCGGCAGTTCAGACATCCTGATCTCGTCCTTCTCCACCTCCGGGTCTCTCTTTCTCCTGTCCGATCCGATACTGAATTTGACTCACCTGCTGCTCGGCTGGGAAAGTCCGCTTGCATGGTTGCCGCCCATCAAGGTCTCCTCGCGGATAACGGACAGTGATGTAAGTTAGTCCGGAATCTTTAGATCTTGTGCAGGGTCGCAAAAATGTGTTACTAAGCCACTAGGCATTACATGGAGTTGTTGGACAAGACATGGCTTGACAGACAGATATTCATCAGGGAAATGTTTAGTATACTCACATGACCAGTGATTACTCACATAGTCACGTGGCCGGATAATGGGGTTTTTTGGCCTAAATTATAAAGTTCAGCTAACATCATAACTATGCACGCTTAGCTCTGGGAGGCATGAGTAATGGAGTAATTTCCTTAACATATTTTGTTTCTTTCCCATGAAGATGGGAAAAGGTGGGATAGATAATGTTAAAGCCTGAGCTAATTGTAGGCAACTATTCATAATGATAAAGTACCGGTCCTACAGATTTGCTACCTATCTGCACCTGTAAACAAGGTTCTGCGCGCTTTCAATTATCAGCTAATTCGTGATTTCAGGCTGGCGGTGCACAGACAATCCATTTTGGTGGCTAAGACAAACCAGTCAGCCCTTGAGTCTTACAGCATGGGTGTGAGAGCAATTAGTTGGTCAAGAGGAGTTTCCAAGTCCCCGCTTCTCATAACTCCACTTGGTCTTGTGGTTCGAAAGCGCAGCATAATACATAGATATCACATGCATAGGCATTGCTAGTCAAAGCGGTGTGACAAATATTGCTAAAGGACTCCAAAGCTGTGTTTGCATGACTCAGGAGTAACTGGTTGTAAAGATTAGGCAGGTTACAAGCGTGCCATAGATCCATATTAGCTAACTAGCAAGAGATTGGCACAGCTTCCAAACTCTCCATTACATCGCCACGCCCTTCTTACGCAGTTACATGACTATATTATTATAGGGCTCGGAAATCGGTATACCTGGTGCTCCACAGAGCATTACTAGGAAATGCGGTGAGGCTTAGGGTCCGTTGAAGCTTTCTATTCTGAGCCAGGAGACCTCAGGACTTGAATTATATTAAATCCGTAGCTCAACAGGATATCCCACACAATGAGGGGTGCAACTCCCAACCTAGCAAGCTAACTCTTCCCCAATATCACTGAAAGCCCCTTCTGGCGTGTTCCACAAAGCATCGTCTCTGCTACTACTAGGCAGTTCTCTCTCCCAACGCCTTGATAAACTCTGCACCCCCAAATTAGTTCGATATACCTTGTGAACAATCATTGGCACATACCACTAAATTCAATCTTGCCATTTCCATTGGTATCAAAGTCTTTGATAAAGTCTGCTGCATCTTCCTTAGTCATCTCCTCCCCATCTCTCTTCGCAGCTTCCACCAATTCCTCGGGTGTGATATAGCCTGGTCCGTACATCAGTGGTAGCTATAGAATGTTATAAATTATTACATACGATCGCCATCGGTATTCTTCGTACAAATTATCAGCTTGCAACCCCTTGACATATACAGAATTAGGGAATACTTACAATCTTTGAGAAGACTTCCTTCCACTTCTTGATCTCTTCACGGGTGTATCGAGGCTGCGAAGATTAGAAGAGAGTAAAAAAGCCTCACAAGAACATACCATTTTGACGGATTTCAATAGACCTACTAGGATCGGATCAGTTAGAGTGATTTCTACAAAGTAAATGTGACAGGGCTTAGCAGCTCCTTAAATATCTGTCCGTGCTCCAGACTATTAGTATCTTTCGGCAGGGAGACTCATCCATGCAAGCAACTAGTCAATAGTCTTTAGTCTAACGACGTCATGGTAAGTAACGATCACAAATAGGATGTAGATCCTAACCTGTATCGATACAGTAGTTTCTTCTTCAAATAAAATCTTTTGGACTTTCTCACAATATCCTTTAATTTCTCTACAAAAGTTTAAAAGTCAAGTATGTGGATCGGGAGTGGGTGGTGATGTGATGGGTCTAAGAGCCTAATGAGGTATAGCGTTGTGTAAGATGTGGGTGTTCTAGGCAGCTACTACCCAAATGCCAAATGGTTCCAATGACGAGACATGCTTATATACCACCAACCCCGTTGGCCTCGCTGCCCCGTGACACGTAGCGATGCCACGATGCACTAATTCTACATGACGATTTAGGCGAGCAAAAAAGCCAGTTGGTCCGTGGTGACGTAATATAATTCACCAGACTCAGTTATCAGGTCTGGGACTTCCACTATAGACACCATATACGGAGCCGGAAAGTGATATTGTGCCCCTTCAGTGCTTCTTTAAGGAAAGCCCATTATGTCTTCAGGAGCAAGGTTCAAACCGTATCTATATAGGCTACGTCCGTGATGAAATACCTAGTAAGTGATCCTATCATTCAGAATCTATTTGTTTTCCGTGTTTAAAGAAAATGTACCGTTTAATACAGTCAAACAGTACGCGGAAGATGTATAATAAAATAGCGGAGATATTAATTATATATATGAACAGCTTATTAGATTCTCGTTCGTATCCGACCTGGTTCTTACTCTAACCGACCCCTGCTACATTGCGGCTTAGTAAGACTAATCCTTAGTAACGTAATCCACAACCGAGCGAGCCACCCAACCGAGCGAGCCACCTCAGAACCCCTGAAACCTTGCATCCTTGAGATCATCATCAAACCCAAATTTCCATCCAATATGGCATCAAAACGATCAGATTCAATAGTCAAATCAGAAGATCGCATATCTCTTGCAGTCAAAGCATACCAAAATAGCTAGTTCAAAAGCATACGAGCAGTAGCAGCGGCATATGATGTTCCTTGATCTACTCTTACACATTGAATTAGTGGCCGCAAAGCACGGGTTAATGTACCAGCCAACTACCAGAAGCTTAGCAGTCTAGAAGAGGGTTCTCTAAAGAAATAGATTCTGGATATGGATGAGCACGGCCTACCACCAACTCAGGATACTGTACGCAAAATGGCAGATATCTTACTATCTTATCGAAATCCAGGCCTATCTACTGGAAAGAACTGGGTCAGCAACTTTATTAAACAGCATAATGATCTTATATCAAAATATACTCGCAAATATGATTACCAGCGTGCAAAATGTGAGGACCCAGAAGTCATTAACTAATGGTTTAATCTTGTTAAGAATACTATAATAAAATATGGTATTCTTGAACAGGATATCTACAACTTTGATGAGACTAGCTTCCAAATGGGTGTAGCCTATACGGCAAAGGTTATCACTGCATCCCGTCATCGAACAAGCCGCATACAAGCTATACAGCCAGGGAATCGCGAATGGGTCACTGTTATTAAATGCATTAATGCCTCTGGATGGCCTCTTCCCCCTATGATTATCTTCTCTGGCAAGGTCCACCAGTCTCAGTGGTATCAAGATATCAACCCTGACTGGATAATCGGCCTGAGTGATAATGGGTGGACGACTAATGACCTTGGAGTATTATGGTTAGAAAAGGTCTTTTAAAAGCATACTCTGGCTCGTACAATTGGGAAATATTGTCTTTTGATTCTTGATAGCCATGCTAGTCATGAATCAGCAGAGTTTGATCTTTTCTGCAAGAATCATCAGATTATCCCTCTTTATATGCCTTCTTATTTATCTGATAAACTGCAACCTCTTGATGTTGGCTGCTTTGCACCCCTAAAGGAGGCATATAGGAGAGAGGTAATGAGAAGTATTTAAAATGGCATTTATTATATTGATAAGGAAAACTTTCTTGATCTCTATAGAGAGTCAAGAAAGGTCTTATCATCTCAAAATATCCACAGTGGTTTTGCAGCTTCTGGTTTAGTTCCTTTAGACCCCCAAAGGGTACTAGATAAGCTTACTATCAAGACTATTACCCCCCCTACTACTGCTCATGGACCTGCGGATATGGAATGGACTGTAAAGACCCCTTATACTACTGCTAAGGTACAAAAGCAGATGGAGCTTATCAAGCAGCTTATTAAACACAACTCCCAAAGTCCCCCAAATGAGGCTATCCGTCAGCTTATAAAGGCAGCTGAATCCACTATGCATAAAGTTCTTCTCCTAGATTAGGAGATAAAGGGGCTATGCGCAGTAAATGAGAAGCAGAAGCGAAAGCGCGCAACCCCTAGATCTTTTATTGCTACTGGAGGTGTTCTAACAGGTGCTGAAGGCCAGCAAATTGCCTAAGAAGCTATACAGATGATGGAACCAGTTGCTAAGAAGCGTGCGCCACCATGATGTAGTAATTGCCATCAAATTAGTCATACTAGAACAAGCTGTCCTAGTAGACCTAGATAATTCAAATATTCAGACATTCTGCTTTGGTTTGGTTCCATAGTAGTAAAATATCTCATGGTTTTCGACCGCGGCCAGAATCATGTTCGGGTGGCTCGCTCGGTTGTGGATTACGTTATTCGGGGTCGCGCGTTGCGCGACCCCGCCATCTCAACGAAAACCGCCATCTCAACGATAAATTTTCTTAATATCAAACTATTATGAAGAATTAGGCAACCTTCCTGTCAAATTTTACTAATAAAATATATAGAAATAGCGACTACTGACTTTCATCTATCTTTCGCCTTTTTCTCTGCCTTCGAACAATGATTCCTTTAGCGAGGCAGTAATCTTGAAGTTCCGCCATGACCTTCCTCCATTGAGGCCGCAATTAATTCTTTTCAACCAGCTCATTATAATCTTGCTTCACACACTTCATACGATTGACATCTTCCTTCTGTATGATTCCACCTGTCCATAGATGAGCTCTGGAAGCCTGCGCACGGTGTTAACGTGCTAGTTTTGCGGCGTCAGATTGCCTTACCCACTCTGTAAGATATTCCACTAGAATGGCCTGTGTCTTTGTAGCCTTTACTAGCTTAGCAAGGCAGGTATAGAAGGAATCTTCCTTATTAGGAGATAGTTGAAGAATATGACAACTATATCAATTGATTTGACGCGCTGTTTTAGGGATGTTAGTAGCTAAAAAAGAGGAATTACTTGTCTTCTTGTTGGCAAAGAGCTCACTATCCTGTAGCCTTTCAAGGGCGACAGATGGATTCCAGGGATTCAAGCCAGTCAGCCCAAAAGCATGCCTTAAAGTACGCGATTTGAAAGTCTTGCGTTGTATCTCAAAGAGAGCAGATAAGAATTCCACCTTTGTAAACTTCCCACAACCTATCTGTGTAGCATCCTCAATAGCTTCACTATGCCAATGCTTAAAGGCCTGGAATACACCGACATCTAGTAGCTAGAGAAGATGGCTTATATGCGGAGGAAGGAAGTATAAGATAATGTCATTTTTCTCGCAGAAATTAATAAACTCATAGGTCATATGAGATCCATATCCATCACAGAGAAGTAGGCATTTTACACCTAGCATCCAACACTTTATATGATAATTAAAATGCTGAATCCACTGGAAGGCAAGGAGATTGTTTATATATCCAGAATCTGACATGCCAATCATATAATCTGGCTCATCACATACGTCAAGCCATCCAGCTAGGATGCACTTGCCTCCAAAGATGATGAAGAGTGGAATATAATGACTATCTGCACTGATTACTTCCACAACTATTATATATTTGTGATTAGTGCTACTAGGAGAGAAGCAAGCCTTCTTAAACTCTCTAGTGACTATCCATTAATCTTTACCAATTCTAATCTGGAAGCCAGTCTCATCGAAGTTGTAGAGATCTCGTGGATGGATGGCATTCTTTTCCATTAACCCTTTAAGGTTATGGAACCACATCTGAATGATTAAAGGGTCATGTGCCCACTTCCGCTCTATCTCAATAGCTCTTTGCCTTCATACTCAGTATTCTGGATAGCATTCAAGGAAGCGTTTCGTCCAATGCTCGCCAATCTAAGGCGGGGGGGTTGTTAGATCAGTATATCCACAATATAGTATTGAATTTGCAGCGTCACCGATCTGCTTTGGCCGAGGGGGAATATCTAGCTTGATAAGTGTGTTAATATACTGCCTAAGAGCCATCTCCTGCTCTGTAGAAAGCTTTGTATTTGTTAGTGCCCTATCACAACGTGAAGGTGTCCCAAGCCAGCGGCGTCAAAGCCGCTACATTGGGACATCAAACTCTCGCGCAGTTTTTGAGATATTTGGTTTTTCTTAACACTGTAATATGCGCAAGGCTTATTCAATTCAATCTTCTATATCATAATAATCATCTGGCATGGTGGTGGTTGATAAATAATAGATATTCTATGAAGGATAATTTTTTATCGTTGAGATGGCGGTTTTCGTTGAGATGGCGGGGTCGCGCGTTGCGCGACCCCGAATACTAAGGATTAGTCTTACTAAGCCGCAATGTAGCAGGGGTCGGTTACTTGTTGTTGTGATGATGCTGAGATCGAATCAGCGCTATAATTAGCGGTTCCTACTGGGTTGAGATACAATCGCATATCTAGGATCTGATCAACTCTGTCAAACCTGATGATGATCACCGTAATTAAATAATTGCCTTTAGAAATGTAAGGTGATTAAATGAAATTAAATCCTAACTTTTGTGACGAAATGGACTATAATATCTATCAACTTTCAAGGTCCAAGGCCCCCGTTGAAGGTGGCTACCAAAAATTGAATTTAACCAACGCGGACGCTGCCTGGTGACTAGAATAGTGCTTTAC